TCTTGCCTGCGGTCCGGTTTTTTTCCGAACGAGCTCAGTCTTCCCGCAGAGGGTAGGTCGCACAAATACAAAGGGCTGTGAAAGCTCAGGGCCTTTGTTCACTAGAAGCAAAGAGCCCCTGACCCCTTCTTTCAAACAGAACCTTTTGTCTTTGTCTTCAATTCTGTGTTCATCCTCCTTCGTTCATGAGATAATTATGGCAAGTGGCGCCTGAACAGGGACCTGAACGAAGACGGTCTCCTGGAGCAGAGGTAGTGAAACTACAGGCAGACTGGAACCCCAGGAAGAATCTGCTGGCAGTGGATGTAAGGTCAGTGCCCTAAAGAGGTACTGGGAGTGGGAAGTTTCTGATTCAGGGTAACATGGGGCAGAATTTGTCTACTGAGAAGCAACATTATGTACAGTTGCTTAAAGTTTTACTTGAAGAATCTGGTGCTCACGTCAGTTCTCAAACACTAAGCTTCTACAGGAAGTCATTACATATAACTCGTGGTTTCCACAAACAGGCACCCTCGATGTGGAAAACTGGGACCAGGTACAAGGTTTGAAATGGGCTCATCAAAAAAGTTTTAAAGTAGATCCCTCTGTTTTCTTTGCTTGGAGTTTGGTCCATACTGTCCTCCTGCCATTATCCCCTTCTTATTCAACTGGACAGCAGGAGCCATGCTCTGACTCTCAAAAATTGGAAGAGCCTTCTGTCTTACAAACAGCGCCCATTGAAAGTGAGAGACAGGACAGAGAGGAGGAGAGCTGGTCTGCGCCGCCGCCTCCTTCAGTAGCAGAAATAGAGACTCCAATACAGAAAATTCTGTGTGCTGCGGCTATAGCTAGAGAGCCCTTTGGACCTTAGGGCTTTTCCTATTGCTGTAATGCCCGATCCAAACAATCCACAACAACTTGTTCACGAACACACTCCTGTGGAATTTAAGCTATTAACAGAATTAAAAGCTAGTGTGGTTAGTAATGGAGTACAGAGCCTGTTTACTTTAGGACTGTTAGAATCTGTATTTGGTGCTATGCGCCTCCCTGCTTTTGATATAAAGCATTTAGCTTGTACTTGCCTGCCTGCTATCGCATATTTGACATGGAATCTAAATTGGCAAGAAATGTGTGCAGACCAGGCTACACAGAATCGTGCCACTGGACATGGAAACACTGCGGAGGATACGCTATTGGGTAGTGGTCCTTATTCAGACTTGGTATCAGTAATATCTAAACTCCCAGATGCTGCTTACCATCAGTAAGCCTTAGCTGCCATGTCTGGCAAACATGTCTGGGCTGCCAACCCCGAGGAAGTGTCCCAGTGCAATCTTTTCTACCTGTCATGCAAGGATTGCAGGAACCCTATGCAAATTTGATCACACCACTACAAGAGGCAGTGCGGTGCCAGATTCCTCATACCGCTGCTGCGGTATGCTTACTCTGACTCTAGCCTTTGAAAATGCATATGTGGATTGTAAACGTGCATTGGTACCGGTAAAATGTGCAAAAAACTTGGCAAATTTTCTCAAAGCCAGTCAAGATGTAGGAACTGAGTCCCAAAGTTCTATGAAGTTGGCTCGAACCATGGCTAATTTAGTAGTAAACAAATCTAAACCCCCCCAAGGATTAAGCCCTGAAGTGGGAAAATGTTACCACTGTGGAAATATTGGGCAATTCAAAAAGGAATGTCCTCGGACTGATGGACAGACGGTATCTTATAACGTGGCACCCCACCCTCCAGAAAAAAACGCCAGCAATTTGCCCTTGCTGTAATAAAGGAAACCACTGGGCTGATCAATGCCACTCAAAATCTCATCAGAACGGCACTCCCCCGCTGGGAAATGAGATGGGGTCCTGGACCTGGGCCCGTCAAACAGTGAGGGCGTTCCCCATCCAGACCACACCCCCACTTCAGGGGTGAGTCCCCAGAGGAACATTAATTTCCTCTCCCTAGAGAACACCCAGAAGTGCAGAGTGTTAATCTACCAGTTAGAGAGGCGTCTCCACTGGCATTTGGGGACTTTTGCTGACAGGATATATGGGATTCATCTTGGGTAAAAGCTGTCTTAACTTACAAGGCATTACCGTTGTCCCCGGAGTTGTTGACTCTGACTATGAAGGAGAAATTAAAGTAATTGTGATGTCACAGGATCTCTGGGTTTTTGGACCGCAGGAATATATTGCTCAGCTGTTGCAGATCCTCTGCAAGTTTCACCCTTCTCCACAAAAGGGGAGACAAGGAAATCAAGGATTTGGGAGTACAGCTACAGGGGAAATTTACCTATCCCAACCCATAGCTTCTAATTGGCCCGTCTGTGTAGTGCAAATTAAAGGGAAGAAGTTCTATGGGCTTATGGACACGGGAATGGATGTATCAGTAGTATCTAAAAGCAATTGGCCCTCATCTTGGCCCTTGCAATTAACCTCTGCATCCTTAGTGGGAATAGGAGCAGCTCAAAGAGTTCAGTGAAGTACTGAAATTTTACCCTGCCTCAGTCCAGTTGGGTAATCATGTACTTTCCAACCTTATGTTGCTAATGTGGCTGTTAATCTATGGGGCCGAGACTTATAGCATGGGATATGTTGAAAAAGATGGGTTATCAGAGTGGAAAAGGCTTAGCAAAGTCCCTGCAGGGAAGCCATGATCCAATATCTATAACTGGGCAAACAAACAGAAAAGGGCTGGGCTTTTGGGATTTCTAATGAGGGTCATTGATACTTCTCCCCCCACCGCTTTGCTGTTAGAGTGGCTGACTGATTAACCTGTATGGGTGGATCAGTGGCCCTATCACAGGAGAAACTGACCGCTTCATCAGCTAGTAAAAGAAGAGTTTAATGCAGGACATATGGAAGAGGCAGCCCTTGGAATTCACCAGTATTTGTGATTTGGGAAAAATCAGGAAAATAGAGACTGCTACATGACTTGAGAGTATTAATGCGTAGATTAAACCAACCGGTGCATTACAGCAAGGTTTACCACCCCAACATCCATTCCAAGAGATTGGCCTCTCATAGTTATAGATCTCAAGGATTGTTTTTTTTTTGCTATTCCATTACATGAGAAGGACAAGCCTCAATTTGCATTCTCTGTGCCATTAATCAGAGAGCCTGTCTCTTGCTAACAGTGGAAAGTTTTACCCCAAGGCATTGCCAACAGTCCTACATTCTATTTAGAGAAATAAAACAAGCCTTAACTGAATTGAATCTCAAAATAGCTCCTGAAAAGGTGCAAACAACCTCCCCATATCAGTACTTAGGAACTACTGTTGCTGAAAGAAGTGCCTGGTCTCTGAAGGTAGCTCTTGGAAGAGACAGATTCCAAACTCTGAATGGTTTCCAGCAATTATTGGGGGATATTAATTGGCTGCACCTGATGCTAGGTACTGCTACTTACCAACTCAACCACCTCTATCAAACACTCAGAGGAGATTCTTCATTAGATTCTTCCCAACAACTTACTAAGCTGAGTTGCAACTTGTAGAACAAATGCTCCGGGAACGACCTGCTTCCCGACTCCACCCACAAAAGCCTTTGCCTTTGTTTATTCTTCCCACTCCCCATTCTCCAACAGGACTTTTAGGACAGTTCACAGACAAAACTATAATGGTAATAGAATGGCTTTTTCTATCCAATCAAATGGTAAAATCTTTGCAAGTTTACCTTTCTTTAATCACACAACTTACAACAATTGGCAGCCATAGATCAAAAGTGCTTACCGGACATGACCCTGATAAGGTTATTGTTTCTGGGAAATGTCGACTGCATGGCAAATCACTCTTGAGGACTTTGTAGGAGTTATACATAATCATCATCCGTCAGATAAGATTTTGCAATCTGACAAAGTTCACCCTTTCATCCTCCCTGTGATTACTCATCACGAGCCTATTCCAGGTGGACAGACTTATTTTACTGATGGCTCTTCTAAAGGCTGTGCAGGTATTTATGAACCTAAACACATTCAGTCAAGACCCCTAGGGTTTCAACCCAACGTTCAGAATTACTGGCAGTTATTCAGGTTCAGCAGCTCACGGCCTTATCGCCTATCAATATTGAATGTGATTCAGCCTATGTTGTCAATGGAGCCAGTCACATTGAGACTGCCACTATTAAAAGCACCCTAGAACCAGACAGAACTTTTTCCTTATTTCTACGACTTCAACAAGTTGTTTGTTCTTGTACTGCTCCTTTTCATATTTCTCATATCCAATCACACACACAACTTCCTGGGCCGTTATCTCTAGGCAATGAGAAAGCAGATAGTTAATTGTTTCTGTATTTCAACAGGCCCACGCTTCCCATGCATTATGATTATTACATCAAAACACCTCTGCCCTCACTCGCGCGTTTCATCTGTCTTGCAACCAGCTCGAGCCATCATGCAAGCCTGTCCCACCTGCCATCACATCTCTGGTGTTACACCCGTGAAAGGATGTAACTCGCGAGGCTTAGCTCCAGATGAAATTTGGCAGATGGATGTTACACACACAGCAGCCATTGGCAGGCTAAGCTATGCTCATGTCACTGCAGATACCTGCTCTCATATGTTACATGCTACAAATAGGAGAAACAGCTGGTCATGTCCGACAACATTATCGTCATTTGCCCATATGGGGGTCCCTAAACAATTCGAAACTGACAATGGACCTACTTATGTCTGTCGTGCTTTCCAGAACTTTATACAATTATGGGCAATCAGACACAAAACAGGAATTCCATACAATCCCTGAGGACAAAGGGTTATTGAGGGGGCATATCAAACACGAATGTTGAAAACACTAAAAGGGGGAATAGGAGACCCATCACCACCTCAAACACAGTGGCATTTAGCCTTGTTTACTTTAAATTGTTTGACTCCTGGTACGGATGGTAAGATTTCAGCAGAAAGACATCGGCAAGTGTTAGAGAAACAGAGGCAAGTTAATCTAAAAGTGTCATGGAAATCCCTGGAAGAAGGACGGTGGAAGTCCCGGTGGATGTGCTGGCATGGGGACAAGGGTATGCTTGTGTTTTTATGGGAGATGGACAAACGATGTGGGTGCCCTCCAGGTGGGTGCAACCATGGAACAGCAGACTGGAGGGATCCATGATGGCCACCCATGGGTGCAGTCCCTCCAGCACGAGCCATGAACCAACTGGATCTGAATGTGAAGACTGAACGAGGGCTGACCAGAGTCACTATGACAACAACCAAACCGGTAACATGGGGACAGATCAAGAAAACCACGCAGGAAGCTGAGAAACTGCTGAAGCGCCAGGGTCAGGAAAAACCCCTGACTCCATGTTCTTGGCAACGCTAGCTGTAGTGTCCTGTGTGGGGTGTTTCCCCTGTGTAGGCAAAAACATATTGGGCATATATTCCCAACCCCCAGCAGTGCAACTGGTACTGTGGAGTGACACTCCTCTTGCAATATATCATGATCAGGGAGCATAGGCTCCAGGACCCCTAACTCCCCGAGACACAGAACAATAGCATCAATTACATGGCTCCTTTAGAAGGACCTCCTTTATGTATCACCATGGATACATTGCTCAACCATGGCTGTTTTGCAATCCAATATCAGGGATGGTTAAGTCATCAGGAAAAAATATCTATTCATTAGGCCTCAGCTCTATTAATATTACTGCTGTGTTTACTAATTATTCCCGGCCCCATCACCCACATTGTATTGATTATGCGACATTGACTCCCTTTGAAAATTCTCACCCCTGCCCCTTGGACCCAGTGTCTTGGCCCCCTGGCCAGACAGCACTTTATGTTGATAAGAGACATTATTGACTGGGGTCCTCACGACCAGTTAGATGGGAAAGATGTAAATCAGACCTCTTGGTACAAACTTTGTTGGCACCAGTGGCGGACCTTCAGCAATTCCTTGTCACATCAAACTGGGATTCAATCCCAATCTGCCACACAACTTCCTTGGCACGGCACTGGCTTTAGCCCACCCTTACCTCCGTGGCATTATCTAGGAAAAAGGGGCCCAATTCAGGAGTCAATTTGGAAAGCAGTGCTCCCACTTACGTGGTAGCATTTGGGCCAGAATGCTATCCAATAATTGTAATTCTGTTCAATGTAGCTTTTCTATCACCTTTGTTAGAAACGTTACTGCTCAATTTATGGTTTGTATTTTCAATCTTTATGTTTTTCTAGCAGCTAAGAAGGGTCAACTCCAGGTAAACATCACCCAACTGACTTGTGTCTCTTGTCAATTATATCATTGCGTTAATCACAGTACTATACAAACACACGACATATCCGCCCTAATAATTCTAGGTCATATTCCTGGATTATGGATTCCTGTCAATTTGTCTGAAACACGGGCTGCTACCTCTGCTTTCCATTTTGTGAAATTTCTTCCTGTCCGGCTCACTCCGTGTGCTCGTAGAGCCTCAGGCATGAACACTTTTGCTGTCGTCTCCTTGGTCACACTAATAACATCTGTTGTGGTGTCCTCAATAGCACTACATAGTTCTGTTCAGACAGCCTAATATGGAGAAAATGGGACACATATGGCCAGCCAGGCATGGATGCTCCAAAATAAAACTCATGCCGACTTACAAACAGAAGCGGCGATGCTGAAGACGACCGTTATGTGGCTGGGAGAACAAGCAAAAAGTTTGCAATTGCAGCAGCCATTGTGCTGTCATTTCAACCGCACCCACATTTATGTAACCCGCTTGGGATACGGTCAAAGTGAATATCCATGGACCCGTGTAAAAGGGTCATTCACAAGGAGGTTTTACATCCCATGTTACTTTTGATGTCAGTGATTGACAAAACAAGGTTGTTGAATAAGCAAACTCGGGAGCGTCAGCCTTCTCTAGAAGCCTGGACAGAATTCCAGCAGAGCTTGGAGAGCCTTCACCCTCGGACTTATCTTAAACAATCTCAAGGTTTCCTTTATCATTATAGGAACAATGCTATCACGTCTCTATTTTCTGTTCGTAGTCTGTAGGATTGCGTGGACCACCAACCGGCAATTGAAAGCTGCCCAGCCTGGAATTACCTTCATTCAATTAATTCAAAAACTAAAAGGGGGAGATGCTGGTGACCCCAACAATGTGCGGTGTGACCAACTCAATATGCCTCTGCAGGCTATAGGAGCAAACAGAAAACTGTCCTCATGAGAGCAGGATGTTGGCAAACTGACAAGCTGTGTCTGCCGCCAGAAAGAGCGTTGAGGGCAGTCACGCCCCAGGTCCCCGGCTCCTGGAGGCTATCTGTGCTCCTGAGGTTATCTGCCTGAACATCTGGAACCTGTTGAACAAGAAAAGCAGTACCTGCGATAAGTCAAGTAGCTGACTGACAATCACTCCCTCCTCCCTGTTCACTTTACTTAATAAATACGAAGGGCTGTGAAAGCTCAGGGTCTTTGTTCGCTGGAAGCAAAGAGCCTCCAATCCCTTCTTTAAAATAGAAACTTTTGTCTTCGATTTCGCATTTGTCCTCCTTCGTTCATGACATAACTATGATAGAGATGCATGCCTGTAGTCCCAGCTACTCAGGAGGCTGAGGCAGAAGAATCACCTGAACCTGAGAGGCAGAAGTTGCAATGAGCCAAGGTCGCACCACTGCACTCCAGCCTAGGCAACAGAGCAAGACTCCATCTGAAAAAAAAAAAAGAAGAAAAGAAAGTTAAAATATAGATGTCTGGGGCCCACTCCAAATAGTTAAATCTGAATTTCTAAGGGATAGGGCCTAAGCTTCACTTTTTAAAAAAATTTGAATGTGTTAGAATGTGTAGCCACAATTGAGAAACACCAACGGTCTACGCTCTCACGTTTGAAATTTATCTGCCTTGATCCTGCCTTCATCTTGCCTTTGCTACAATATTAAATGGGGACTCTTATTAGCAATGAATAAATCTGATGAGTATCTAGATCTTTTATTAGCTTGAATTATTCTTAGATATTCTGCCACATAAAAGAATTTGAATGTATAGTCTTTGCGATTGGTGGTTTAAATAGTTAAACTCAAACTTCACTGTAGCTGTGACTAGAAAGTCCTCATTGATGGAGAATCCTAGAGGTCCTTCTACAGAAGAGAAAACAATTCGGTGGGTCAAGCTGTAATATTTTGCCTCTGATTCTAAGATTTCTTCTTGTTAAAATGGGAATGCGAAATAAATAAGGAGTTTATAGTAAGGACATAATAAGTATTTTTTGAATGAATAAATTAGTGGAATACAAAATTAATATACTTGTCTCATGAAACATCTAAAGAAAAAGGAGACAGATATAGAGCTAACCCATGCCTGTTACACCATTTAATGCTAGGTGTATGGAAGCAGATAATGTGTCTCTTTAGTTTCACAGGCCCTCAGATCAGGAGGAACTGTACTCTAGGAGCTGCATGTGACTAGTCATTCCCAAGAAGCCCCCACCCCAAGACCTAACATGATGAGATTCTGGACTTTAGTTGATGCAGAAGGAGGAGAAGACTTTTAGGGATCTTGGGAGGAGGCAAGTGTATTTTGCATGGGGTGGGAAATGTGAATCACTGGGAGCTGGAAGACAGGCTGCCCAGCAGCTCCTAAGAAGGCCTCCAGTGATCCATGCCTCCTGGTATTCATGCCCTTGTATAATCCTCTCCACTCCCTTGCATGTTGGGTGAACCTAACGTCTTGCTCCTAACAAACACAATATGGTGAGACTGATGAACAGCACCTCTGAGAGGTTATAAGAAGACAGTGACTTCCATCCTGCTCACTCTCTCTTGCTCTCCTGCTTTCTTGTTCTGATGGAAGCCAGCAGCCATGTTGTGGGGTGTTCTACAAAGAGGGCCAGTAGCAAGAAACTGGAGGTGGGGGGAGTGTCTGACCAAGAGCCAGCCAAAACCTGAACCTGCCAATAACCACATGAGTGAGCTTGGAAAGGAAACCTTCCTCAGTTGAGCCTTCAGTTGAGACCACAGCCTTGTATTACTCCTTGATTGCAGCCTTTGGGAGACTATGAGCCAGAAGACCCAGTGAAGCTTTGCCTGGGCTCCTGACCCACAGACATTATCAGATAAACACTTGCTGTTTTAAGCTGCTAAGTTTTGGGTTAATTTGTTACTTAGCAATAGCTAACTAATATAGAAGAAATAGGAGAGAAAAACATTTATTAAGCCCTTCACTATGCCCCTGGAACTTTGTAAACCCTTTTTCCATTTCATTCTAAGTCAACCTGGATGAAAATATTCAGGTTCAGAGATGCTGGGTGAGGGGCAAGACATGAAATTACTGCTGTTTGATTTGAAAGCCTCTGCTCATTTCTCTAATCCAGGATGCAAACCAGGAGAGGTTTTCTATTCATGTCTCTTTTTTTCTTTTCTTCTTCTTTTTTTTTTGTGGCAGGGATACAGGGTCTTCCTCTGGCATCCAGGCTAGAGTGAAGTGGAGCAATCCTAATTCACTGCAGCCTTGAACTCTTGGGCTCCGTTGATCCTCCTGCTACAGCCTCCCAAGTAGCCGGGACTATAGGCATGCACAACCACACCTGGCTAATTTTTAAAAAATTTTTATTAGAGACAAGGTCACACTATGTTGCCCAATTTGGTTTCAAACTCCTGAGCTCAAGTGATTCTTCTGCCTCAGCCCCCACAAAAGGATAGGATTACAGAGAAGAGCCACTGTGTCCGGCCACATTTTCTGTGTTCATAAAGTCAGAAATGGAATAGCTAATGTTGTTGCTACAAAGTTTGTATAAAATGAGTAATTATTAGTGTCCCTGCAGGCAGCCACCTGCTGTTACTGACCTCCTGTGCTCTGCAGCCAAACACACACCAGCTACTTAGGCACACACACTCCGCAGGCACACAGATGCCTCCACAATACACATGTGCTCAAGATCCAATTGTGAGTACACATGTGCACAAATAAGCAGACACATCTGTATTCACAAAGAACTATTTCCACCTTCATTTTCTCCCATCCAATTACTAACCAGGTCTGAACCTTTTTGGCTTCCAAGATCAGATGAGATTGGGCATGTTCAGGGTATATGGCTGTAGCCTACATCCTCATTCTTAAATGAAAGACCGTTTGAGACAGTTCATACCTAATTATGTAATTAATCCACAAGATTTTGCAGGCTGAACAGAAACAGCCATTATAGTTTTTTCTCTTTAGCAATTTTCTATGTGCTTTAAGCAAATTTGAAATCTGGCTAGAGACTTCAGAAATCACGTTGTCTACTCCCCATGTTGTGCAGATGCAGAGACTGAGGCCCTGAGTAGTGAGGGACTTGTCCAAGTACTCCAGCAAGGTGGTGTGAACTGGAGTCCTGGTTCCCCAACCCCCAGTTCGCTGCCCTTACTGCAGCACTGTGCATCACTGACGGGGAGGGCAC